ACATTTAAAAGTTTTTGAATAAAATTATGTATATTAGCATTTTTAGCTGCGTCAATGACTTCTTTCACAGGAAATATCACTTCGACTGTTATCAATATAAAAAATTTTTTCTTTTATTGACATATGAAATAAAACTGATCTTTGTAAAACGATACTAAATAAAAAATATTCATATTAAATAGAAAAAGGAAGAAGAATAATGAAGTATATGACATACTTTGTGATCGATACCATTGAAGATTAAAACTCCGAATATCGTTTGAATCAACTAACTATAAAAAGAAAATGAAAGAGTGCACATGTGAAAAGAAATGAACTAATCAATTGACCAACATTTGTGTCATAGAAACGTTCGATTAATTGAATAGTTGTTGATTTTCCACAACCAGATACACCTACATAGATAAATGGTTTTATTGAAATTAAAGTTATTACAAAGACAAAAAGGAAAGCTGATGTTTACCAACGAGTGCAACTTGTTGACCTATGAAGAGAAAAAAATCATATGAATGATTGAATGAATGAAAAGGTGACATACCAGCCTGAATTTTAAGTGTAAATTCTCTAAGAATAACTGATTCAGGTCTGTTTGGATAAATGAAATGAACATTAGCAAATTCGAAATTGCCATTAAATTTGAGCTAAAACAAAAGAAATAGAAAGAGAAAAAGATCAATATTATTCAAATTTGTTGATATTGACTAACTATTTCATCATCATCAGATGAATCATTATCAATAGACTGTTTTCGATTCAATAGTCCTAAAATTTTTTCAGCAGCTTGAACAGCCTTGCTATAATCCGGAGCCCTAATGAACCAAGCAAAAAAAAAGTTTATATGACTTTCGTCTAGTCATTTCGAATATTTACATAGATGCTGTTTGTCCAACATTTTGTGCATCAAATGCAATACAATTAAAACATCTAGGATAAAATGAAATTATAATATTCTAGAGATAGTTTTATTCTTACAATAAAAGAGATTCAAATGTGATTTTATCCTTACGTACTAAATAAGTACCTAATATAAACAGTGCTGCTAAACTAAAATACATAAATGAGTTTGATAATGGAAAGAATAAACCAAAGAGATTTGCTCGTTCTATAGATGATCTGTAATACAAATATTATAATAGATTCTCAATTAAATTCATAAAAGAATATATAATGCCGATAAGAAATTTCAAGAAGCGAACAATATTGTTCGTAAAAATAATCTTCTTTAGTTAATTGTATAACTGTTCGAATATTTTGTATAGATTCTACTGTTACCTAGAGAACATATATAAATTAAATGAATAATATTCATTATTTAAATAATAATAATCAAACATTGCCAGCATTTTCCATTGATTTTTTTATCTTTACAAGCAAATCCTGTCATTAAATGATTTTGTAAAAAACCTATAGCAACCATAAATGGGACAATGGCAAGAACAAGTAATGTCAATTGCCAAGAAGGGTGTGGGTGTGTGGTGTTCGGTGTGGGTGTCGTTTTTATATTTATCCATACACACACCCCACACCCACACACCCAAACCCACCCACATCCACACACCCACACCCACACCCTAGCCATAGAGAAACAAAACAGAGAAGAAGAGAATACAAAGTTCAATTATTCTATACACTTTCGATATAATTCGGTTACATCCTAATGGACTCACTCTTCTCCTTGCTGTGGTATAAATATAGATTTCAATAGTCATAAAAGCACAGTTACTCTACTATTTCAGCTAATTTCTAACTTGGTCCAAAATTACTCTCACTTTATACACATTTTCAAACGGCTGCAAGCAACACTCTATGGTTTTTTGGCTCATACGTTCCTGATGTGAGTTTTAGTATGTTCTATATATCCTCCTGGCCAAAATAAAAGATACATCTTGTTTTTACAATTATCCTTCTCTGTGTGGTTGAATTTGTTTCATATTTATACTACAAATGCATCTTTGATTGCTTGACTTATCCTGAAAGTTTCAGCTGTATACAACGAATCTTGGCTAAGAAAATTAAAAATATGTGTCATGTACTCGTGTAGCAGTGGAATCATAATTTGTTGTTTTGCTGATTTTTTTGATTATTTCATATTTTATTTGGAGTTCAAGATGACAGTTAGTTAGCTTTGATACATGACTATACTGAGAGACATCTTAAGATGTCTCTCAGTATAGTCAT